AAAAACTTGAATCAGCTACAGTGTTACTTGAAACAACTTACACAACTACCCGAATGCATTTTATTGACAGAAACGAGGGAGTTGGTTTATCTGAATGTGTATAACCTAGCAGAGTATGACCTTATTTATAATAATAGCTGCTATAACCAAAATGATGGTACAGTAATATACATCAAGTCTGACTTGCATTACTCATATGAGGCTGTGGAATTTTCTAATAACTTAAAATTTCTCTCGGTAAAATTAAATTATATGACCAAAACGATTCACGTGATAGCAGGATCTAGACCACCAAACTCCTGTATAGACATGTCCTTAGAGAAAATAAGAAATATGTTGAAAAACATTATCATAAATTCGGATTATACCATATTTCTTGGCGACATCAATATTAACATCAAAGACGACAGCATAGTGAAAACGGAATACATAACTATCATGCAGGAGTATGGTTTTGTGTCGACCATTAATAAATATACTCGAGAAACAACTCAAAGTAAATCATACCTAGACCATATATTTGTGAAAACATATGCCGACTCCGAACTTCTTCTACCATTTATAATCAAAACAAATGCGACCGATCACTACACGACATTCCTACAAATTATATATGAAAATAATATAAATAGCAATCCCACAAACAAATTCTCTAGTCATAACAAAATCAATTATAATTTATGTTTTATGTACCTTTCATTTCAATTTTAATGAACGTGTATTATTATTATTATTATTAGTAACAAGGAAAATACCAGGTCAGAACCGTTGAGAAACAGGGTTACTTTGGAAAGAAGAGGACAGTAAATGTATGGCTTTCGAAAGGTTATAGTATATTGAACGTCGTATGGAAAAAGATTTCAGTTTTGCAGAAGCTTGTAGGAGGAAAATAGAAGAATATGTTGAAAAAGGATATGCGAAGAAAATAGAAGAATATCCTTCAGAGAAGATATGGTATTTACCACATTTTGGGGTTGTTGATGAAAATAAGCCAGAGTAAATGATATTTGTATTTGACGCAGCCGTTAAAGTGGAAGGTAAAAGTCTAAATGATTTTCTGCTGAAAGGACCGGATTTATTTGACTCTCTAGTAGGGATAATATGGAAATTCAGAGAAAAACCCATAGCATTTTCAGCAGACGTGAAGGAAATGTTCCATCAGCTGGTTGTAAGAAAAGAAGATAAACCTGCTTAGAGATTTTTATAAAGGGAAAATCCAAATGAAGATGTAACTATGTTTGAAATGCAAGTGATGATTTTTGGTGACATTTCATCTCCATTCTCTGCACAATACATCAAGAACAGAAATGCATTGGAATTTGAAGAGGTATACCCTGAAGCTGCTGATAGCATTATAAATCGTCACTATATGGATGATTACCTAGATAGTGTTTCTACAAGCGCCGAAGCAACAAAACTCATTGAAGAGGTAATAAAAATACATGAGTCAGGTGGTTTTCAGTTAAGAGGATGGATTTGCAATTCAAAAGAACTTTTGGAAAAAATTTCAGAGTCACTTAGGGGGAAAGATGGAATACTGGATGACAACGGTTCACAGAGAGTTTTAGAAATGAAGTGGATGCCCAAAGAAGATGTTTCAATTTTTTCATTGAATTTCCACAAAGTTAATAAAGATATTTTGAATAGTAAGATTCATCCTACAAAAAGAGATACGTTGAAAGTAGTGATGTCACTTTATGATCCTCTAGGTTTAGAGGGACATTACGTAATTAAGGGGAAAATATTGATACAAGAAGTATGGAAAAGCGGTTTGAATTGGGGTGAAAAAATTCCTATTGAATCGAATGAAAAATGGTTACAATGGATCAGTGATTTGAAACAAATTGAACAATTGAAAATACCAAGATGTTATAGCTTTGAAATAATCCAAAATACTTCTGGAACACGTCTGGCACTTCAAGCAGCAGTGATGGGTTCTCATTTAGCAAGACACATCAAGAAGGAACATTCACTTGAAATCAATAAAACATTTTTCTGGTCAGATTCAAGAATAGTTCTCTGTTGGTTGAGATCAGAGACCAAACGTTTTAAGACTTTCGTTCCACATAGAATGGGAGAAATTCAGGAAAATTCTAACATATCTGATTGGCATTGGGTACCTTCCAGTATGAATGTAGCAGACGAAGCCACCAGAAGCACCAAGAAAACAAATTTGAATATAGAAGATAGTTGGTTTCAGGGTCCAAAGTTCTTGTATCTTAATGAAGAACTCTGGCCAAAATCCGGCAAAAATGTATCATGCAATTCTACCGAAGAAATTAAGAAATTAGAGTTAAAGCAAGATTTCATTTCATTGCAGACTTCTCAAGTTAAAATTGATTATTTACCTAATTTCACTAAATTTTCAGATTATAACAAGTTGCTTCGAGTTACAGCCTATATGTTTCGATTTATCGAAAACATGAAGAAAAAGGGAAGAGATTTGGAGAAACAGAAACTCACATGGCAAGAACTTCAGAAAGCGGAGAGAGTTTGGTGCATGAAGGTTCAGGAGAATTGCTTCTCAGAGGAAGTGAAATCTTTGAAAAAGACAAACGAGGTACTCAAAAGTAGTAAGTTATTTAAATTATCACCTTGCATTGAAGATGAGGTCATTTACTTAAGGGGTAGGATTGATTATTCACTTGAACTTTCTTAAGAAACAAAACGTACAATAATTTTGTACAATTGCCATCATTTTACCAAACTTTTAGTTGCCTATTATCATAGGAAAAATGGTCATGCTGGACTACAATTTACATTAAATGAATTAAGACAGAAATTTTGGATTTTGCGAGCTAGAAAATTAATCTCAAGAATTTCAAGATTATTTAATTTGTGTGAAATTAAACGTGCAAAACCGCAAATACCGGAGATGGTACAGATTCCAAAAATAAGATTAACAAGACCACAAAGACCATTTAGTTTTGTAGGTATGGATTATTTTGGTCCCATGATGGTTACCATTGGTCGGAGAAGAGAAAAGCGATATGGGGTTATTTTCACGTGCCTGTCGATTCGAGCAATTCATCTCGAATTAGCAGATTATTTATCCCCCGATTCAGCAATCTATTCAATAAGAAGATTCATTTCGAGAAGAGGACAGCCCGAAGTTGGAGTGACAATGGTACTAATTTAACCTCAGCACACAAGGAATTGAAGGAAGCTATGAAGAATTTGGATGAAGATTTAATAAACAAAAGTTAAGTAGCACAAGAAAGTAATTGGAAATTTATGTCTCCAGCAAGTCCTCACTTTGGAGGAGCCTGGGAACAGATGGTAAGGTCTGTTAAGAACGCACTACAAGTCACTTCGAAGGAAAAGTCTCCACTCCAAACTTTACTAGCCGAAGCTGAGCATACAGTCAATAGTCGACCTCTCACATATGTTTCCTCCAATCAAGAAGATAATGAAAGCCTCACACCTAATCATTTTCTGATAGGATCATCAAGTATTGCCAAGCCACCTATCGTTGTTGATTTTACCAACAAAAATTTGAGAAAGCAATGGTACTTTGCACAGCAATTGTCCGAATGTTTTTGGAGCAGATGGGTTCGAAAATATCTGCCAACTCTCATCAAGAGTTCCAAATGGTTTGAAGAGAAAGCGAACCTGAAGAAAAATGGCATAGTGGTGGTGATGGAAAAGCTTCCGGGAAATAACTGGCCTGTAGGTAAAATAGTGGAAGTTTATCCAGGAAGAGACGGAAGAGTACGAGTTGTGGTTCAGAGGAGTATTTATCGCAGACCTGTAGCTAAATAAATTATGTCTTTTGAATGTATTAGAAATGTAAGAAAATTATAAAGAGTATTTATGTCTCATCCATTCGAATAATTACGGGGGGAGATTTGTAAGTTTTGAAATACTCTGTATTAGATATTATTATGTTGTTATGTGAAATTTATATCAAGTTTGGGTTTTTTGTTATTTTTCACAAGGAGATAAGTTGTTGATAACAAGAAAGTGTCAAGCGAAAATAAAAGTTCCTTGAAAAAAGTTAAAAATATCATTTTTTCCCAATTTTCCCATCAGAAAAAAGCTAAACATTGTGCTGGCCTTTCGATCGGATAACTGACTACGTATTTACAGGTAAAACTAAACACAGTCAATGCAAAGATTATTGTCAAATAATCTGAAAATGGAAGTTTTAACAGGTGATGATCAACTATATTGCCAAACATGCTCCAAACTAACTGACTGTTATAAAGAAACAAGTATAGCTGAGGCACCAGTCAATCTAACAATAACATTGATGATCTTCAAAGAAGACTCAATCTCTGACGGAAGCAAGAAACTCTTTGGAAGGTTCAAAATAGATGAACATTTCAATCTAGTAGACCACAATTATAATATTCATGCAGTCATTGTTCACTGTGGTTCTGACGTTGAATTTGGTCATGATTACGCCTTAGTTAAAGACGAAACGGACTGGTTCAAGTTTTACGATAGTCATGTCATCAAGAGTTCTGGCGATGCATTTAATATATTGGAGCCTCTGGAGACACCCTACAATTTTTTTTGTAAGAGAGAGGACATTGTGGATCAAGATCTTCAGATGATGTAGTGCTGCAGGTTTTTCCGGGTTTTTCTGCAGCTGAAAAAGCAAATGCGCCACTGGAATCAATGAAGTCGCCCCGGAGCGCCAATTGATTTTTATTGTTGTTTTTATTTTTATCGTTGTTTTAATAAAAAGAAAATGTTTTAGCTAGTGTGAATTATTATACAAACTTTCATTTTTATATGGAAACTATACTAAGTACCAGATTTGTTTCATCTTTTAGTAATGAAGTCACTAGGCATAAGGATCCATTAATATTTTGCATTTCACACTTCGCTAAATGTTTTGTAAAATTGTAGATTGGAATGTAGGCATTACATAAATATGATCATTCAAATACATTGTAGTTCTTTACACTTTATCAAATATATTTTCGTGAATTGGCTTTGCCGTTAAATAAATAAAGAAATGAATAATATTATATACATCATTGAATACTTACAGATTTTTCATATTTCCCAAATGAACGAAAGTTTTTTCTTGTATTTCAATGATACTGCAATGTGACAGAATTCTGAAAAAAAAAACAAAAGTATTTATAGGGCATTCCACAAGCAAGCAAAGAAGTTTATAACACTGAAATGCCGATCATTTCGAGAGTGAATATTATCATCTTCAGGGAGAAAAATGTGGTTGGGGTTGAAACGAAATAATGTAAAAAATTACTCAACAGAAGATATTAAAATTATGTGTACCTATACAAAGATGATGAATTGAATATTACTGGAGTTTTTTCCCCAAAACCAAATCGTTATTTCGTGTTTCGACACGTGTTTCGATCACCAAGTGATCATCTTCAAAGAAGAAGATTTAAACTAGAAACTAATGCGAGCTAACCCTATTTATGCTATAAAGGTAACTCATACAGGTAAACCATCCAGGCGTACCAACCCTACAGGTATACCAACCTAAATTAATTTAACAATTTTGCCTTATCTATTATTTTACAATATATGTTTATATAAAACAATTATCACCTATATAAAAATTAATATCACAATATTGCCTATCCAAATTCATTTTTACAATGTGTCCTTATGTAGTGATCAGTAAACCCAACAACATTATTTTATTTTATTTCAACAAGCTATACAGTATGCTCTTTGGTATAGGTCCGTCATCGTTATTCATGATATTATTGTGTTTACTTGTTTCTACACTCTCATAGGCATCTAGTTGCCTGTTGTTGTTAACTTGTCTAACTAATCTTAATGAACTGAAATCTGTGGAATGATTTTGTTGCAAAATATGATGGGCGACTGCTGATTTTTCAGGTCTTCCATATTTTAAGTGTGCTATGTGTTCCTTATATCTTACAGATGATACAGAGTATCATCTGCATAAAGAATAATAAATTCACAATTAACAGAGCAGTTGATGTCATTCATGTATAGTATAAATGGTAAAGGTCCAATTACACTACCTTGTGGGATACCTATATTTGTCTGCCTTGTTGTAGAAAAATGGTTATTTAATTTCACAATCTGTTTTCTATCACTCAGATAGCTTTACAACCATTTAAAAGCAGTTGATTTAATTCCATATGTTTTTAATTTCTGAACTAGAATACCTCTATCTATTGTTTCAAATGCTCGTTTCAGATCAATGAGCACTGCCACGATATACTTTCCTTTATCCATCAATTGGTTCCAACTAGTTGATTGTCAGTTGTAAGGCTGTTTCACAAGAATGTTTACTACGAAAACCTGACTGGTTTCCTGAGAAAATATTGTTGATATTTATGTGTTAAATAAGTTGGTTACATGCTGCTCTTTGAATTACTTTCTCAATATCTAGTAAAGTGTTGATTGGTCTGAAATTCATTGCATCATTTGAATTCGTGTCTTTTGGAATTGGTATTATAATGAATGTTTTCAGCTCATTTGGAAATATTCCTGCTCAAAAGGATACGTTAATAGGATTTAATAGGTGAAAACCACAAGTGTCAATGGTTTTTTTTTATTATTTGACCATAAATAACATCATGTATATTACCTTCATTTTCCAGGGTAGCAATTATATTTTTAAGTTACTTTATACTTATTTTACTAAAGTTTTCAAGGTTAGTTTTTATTTCTGGGAGATGATTGGCGGACCATTGATGATTTATGGTATCAATTATATCACTACACTCGATATGAAATATTCATTGAAACAGTTTGCAATACCATTTTCTGTTTTCGCAATCACTACTCTATCTCTAAATTGAAATTTCATAACTGTATTTGTGAATGCAAGATTTTCATTTCGAATCAACTGTTTTAGCGTTTTCCACATTTGTTTACAATCTCCATAATGGGAATCAATCGTATTTTCGTAATAATGTTTTCTCTTCAATCTAAGACTGTTATTAACTTCATTTCTACATATTTTGTAGGTATTCCAAAGATTTTGTTTTTCCTCCATGTTTCTACTACACTGTCTAAATTTTTTATGAGCATCATCACGATTTTTTGCCTTCAAATGTATTTTTTTATTGTACCAAGGTAAGATAATTCTAGTATTTTCAAATGTTTTTACTGGGCAAATTTCATTAACAACTTTTTCGTAATTTTTTGACATTTCATCAAAAATAGTGTTTACATCTAAGCAATTTGTTGGCCAACTGCAATCAATCAATCCCAAATTTATCATGTGAAAATTATCTATATTGAATTTTCTGTACATTTTTGAAACTACATTTACTGGTCTGTTGTTACTTCCAATGTAAATCGTTAATGTATCATGATCAGTGATTTTTGGAAGTTTGTGTACTTTGGCAAAAATATTTGGGTCATTGGTTATTACACAATCGATCGGGGTTTCACTTGTTGGTGTACATCTTGTTGATTCATTTATGATTTGTTCCAGACCGTATTTCATTATTGTCTCTCAAAATTTATCTTTTCATTTTCATCAGTAGTGTCATCCTCACCAATCTGAATTATCAGTGGCTCGATTTGTGCCTCTATTATGTTATCAAGCTTCCACATCTTTGTCTCGACTTTCGATATCACATGCCGAACATACTTCTCCCATTTCTCCGCTGTGACTCTTTTCAAAGCCTCATCAAAAAGTACTTTGAGATCTGCAAATTTGAACGTGGTGTTATGCTGAGCTACAAACTTCTTCACATCCGCCCATATTAACTCGATGGGATTGAGCTCGCAGTGGTATGGAGGCAGGTGAAGGACAATTTTGTTTTGGCCTGCTGCCATCTCATCGACTATATATTTTTGGTGTTCAAGCTTGGGCTCCTTGACAATTTTTAGTAGCTGTACTCTTAGCATTGAGTCTTCAAAGCTAATATTCTTTGATCGCAGCCAATTTTGGATTTCAACCTTCTTTGAAGACGTTGTCGGAATCTTCTCTAACCGTTGCGAATGATAAGGTGCATTGTCCATTACAATCACAGCATTATCCTCCAGATGGGGTTGAACTTTGGAAAACCACTGTTCGAAAGATTCACCGTTCATTTCTTCGTGATAATCTCCAGTTTTCTTCGACTCGAAACACCACAGCCCTTCAGCAACAAACCCATTCTCATTGCCGATGTGACAAATAATAAGCCGTTATGAAGAGGTATGTAAGTAAATAAAACAAATACGAGGGTTACTTTTTTATATTGAGATTGAGGCAGGTCCTAATATAAATATAAGTTCACCTGATGAATTAGTTAATCCGGTGGATAGTCCATCTAGAAAGGCATTCCTTGATGAGGTCACAGTTCCATCGACCCATACTGTAGGGGTAGTATGACCAGCATTAACCCAGGTTTCATCCATACAATAAATTGTTCGCTGTTGTTCCCATTTTAATATTTAATTTTGGTCAAATACCCTCTCCTCCATAACACAATTTCCTCTCTATCCAATAATAAACTATTGCGCCCTCGTTTTTTTGATACAGAATTCAAATGTTTTAATACTTTATGGAATGTTGACCGCTCAAAACTTGGCAATAAAACATCTTCATTTATTTCTGTGAGTACTTTGTCTATCGTGGGTATTTCATTTCTGAAAAAGTACTCAAGCACTTTCCTCCTGATTGCATGTTCATCAACATCTATTGATTCCATAATGGTTTGACGATTCTGTTTTGTATTCGGTTTGGAAAATGTATGATTTTGTTTATATTCCCGTAAAACATTGTAAATCGAAGCGCAACACACTCCAATTTTATCGGAAACTTTTGATGCGACTTCGTCGACAGTCGATGTCTCAATTTCTTCCATCTCTTTCTTGAACACATTTGAAATCACTTCTCTCATCTCAACACTCAAATGTCTTTTTTTGGATAGTTTCCTGGCTGGACTTAGAGGAAAGCTCACAGTGTCATCAGCAGTGTCTGTACTGGACATCTTGGAAAACAATTTTAAACAATATACTATAACGCACGCCACACAAACACGCAAACGACTGATTACAACCCTGTGCTGGTACCGAACTCGTACCAAGAAGGCGAATTCACCAATGAACGCTGCCCTTTCCATCTGACAGCTGAATGAACAGGTGTTTGAGTTTGATGAATAAAAAGGTAACATTCTCGTTCTCGTTCATCATTAAAACCTCGTTCTTGAAATTCTTCATCATAAACAACACTTCTAAAATGCTATTCATGTAGCAAGTGTTTCCTAAATCATCCAATCCAATTCTCTTCTCTAGATTTCCAGGACAACTCTCTACTGATTCGTAAAGAAGAACACGTTTCACAGAATCTCCATAAGAACCATTTCTCAAGCTGCATTCGATCATTCCTAGTGAAGAAGGGTTTCGTGGAGGGATCGATTCGGCTCTTGCTTCATGAAGCTCTTCCACTGAAAGGGAACCAGAAATACGAGGACTGCTACTCATATTTGAGAAAATAAGTGTTGTAAATAGAAATAAAAAAAGTATCATTTTTGTTCCATTGACCACATTATTTTATTTCAACATTAGTTGCTTACCAGTACACAGTTAGTCCTGAATAGGCTTATAATATATTTTATTTGCTGTTAGATTTTTCAATAGTACAGTGAGATATCCCTGTCAAGCCTTATTATTAACTTTTTTACACTATAATTAATGCTAAAATCGGAAAATATGTCAAAACTCTGTTTCAGGAACTATCACACAGCATATTAGTATTTTTCATTTTTAATTAGGGTATACTTAAGAAGCAATTTATGATTATTTATCTGAAGTGAAAAACTTCAATTGCTGATTACCGAAAGTAGCATGTTTTGTAGATGTCACACTGTTGCTCTGAGATAGCGATATCTCAGCAAATTCATTAGTAGAACTCATTGAACGATTAATTATTATCAGAATAAAATATATACAACTGCACAACAGCCATCATATGTCGATATTTCTGTCAATTCCCATGAAATTTTGTTTTTTTTTCTCATAAATCACTTAGTAATACTGTTGGGTAGGGTACTCGTTAAGTAAATATTATCTTTAGAAACAAACTCTGCAGTAATAGTTTCAAGATTTTAATTGACGTTTCCATAATGGAAACTTGAACCAACTCTTATAGAGGGTGCAGTAATTG